GACATTGATTACTGATATTTAAAAAAACAACACACTAGGACTGGAAGGGGGCTTCAAATAGCCTCTCTGAAAGACTTCGAGCCAGCGTCACAGGTAACGGTGAATGACCGAATGTTTCCCCGTAAGATCAGAACAGGGATGTCCACTCTCACAGCCTCCAGACAGCACTGTAGTGGGCACAGTGAGGCAGGAGCCGGTGCACTAAGGCAGGAAAAAGAAACAGAAAGCATCCAGGTCGGGAAGGAAACAGCAGAATTGTCTTTATTTGCAGATAAGCTGAATGCCTGTGATTAAAATCTGATGGAATCTACAAAAACGCTACTGGAGCTAATGAGCGCATTCAGTAAGGTTGCTAGATAAAGATTAACATCTAAAAGCAGTTGTATTTCTATATACTAGCGATGAATAAGTGAAAATTGAAATTTTAAAAGTTTCCAGTCCAATAGCATCAAAAAATATAAAGTACTTAAGGGTAATCTGGCAAAACTGTAAGACATATAAATTGAAAACTATAAAATATTGCTAATAGAATTGAAAGAAGACCTAAAAATGGAGAGATCCCTTGTTGATGAGCGAGAAGACTTCATATTAAGCTATCGTATTGTCACTGTGACAAACAGGATGTCAGATATCATTCAGCCCCTCCGTTTGATCACTAGACTCAACGTGATCCCAATCAAAATCCCAGCAGGATCTTTTTGGTGGAAAATGACAAGTTGATTCTACAATTCAAATAGAAAATGCGAAGGACCTAGAAGAACATAAGCATGACCTGATTTCAGGACTTGTCACAAAGCTACAGTAATTAGGTTTGCATGGCATCAGTGTAAAGATAGACAAATAAACCGTTGGATCGGAATAGACAACCCAGAGATAGATCCATATATGGCAGTGGATTTCAGAGGTGGAAAGGACGACTAAGCGAAGAAAAGGGAGCCTTTTCAATAAACGGTACTAGAACTATTGGAAATACTCCTGTGCAAAAAATTGATCCATACCTCACACCAGAAACGTAAATTAACTCAAAATGGTTCATAGACCTGAATGTAAAACTTAAAAGTATAAAACTTCTAGAAAAAAGTTAGGTAAAGATTTCTCAGATTTGATACCAAATGATTCATAAAAGAAAAAATTGATAATTGGGACTTGATCAAAATAAAAATTTCTGCCCCTTGAAATCCACTGTTAAGTGAATGAAAAGACAAGCCACAGACTAGGAAGGAATCATTGTAAAGCATTTTCTGATAAGGGACTTATATCCAGAATATATAAAGAACTCTCAAAATTCATTAATAAGAAAACAACCCAGTAAAATAACACTTCACCAAACAAAATATATGGATGGCTTAAGCATGTTAAAAATAATGCTCAACGTCATTGCTTATCAGAGAAATGCCAATTTAAATCACCATGAGTTATCACTATACTCTTACTAGAATGACTAAAATTAAAAAGACTGATTATACCAAGTGTTGGAGATGTGGAGGAACTGGAAACATCATACACTGCTGGTGGGGATGTAGAATGGTACAACCACCTTGGGAAACAGCCTGTCACTTTCTCAAAAAGGTAAACATACACCTGTCAAATGATCCAGGTATCCCTCTATCAGTAAGTTATACGTCCATAGACGGACTTGTACATCACCGTTCATGGCAGCTGTATTTATAAAGGCCAAAAACTGGAACAAGCCAAATAGCCATCAAGAGGAAAATAAACAAACTGTGACATATCTGTACAATGAAGTGCTACTCAGCAATAAAAAGGAATGACCTGTTGATGATATATGTGGCCACATGGATGAGTCTCAACTTATGTTGAGAGAAGCCAGAGGAAAGAGACTACATGGTGTATTATTCCATATGTATAAAACTTTAGGAAATGCAAACTAATCTATTATGACAGAAATTCTGCTTGGGCGGGGAGGGAGGGGTGGCAAGTGGCAGGAGGTGGGATTACCAAGGGCATGAGACTTTTGGAGGTGAAGGATATGTTCATTATCTTGAATGTGATGATGGTTTCACAGATGTATTTGTAAGTCAAAACTTAGATTGTGCACTTAAAACTTGTAGTCTAGTGCATGTCAATTTTACCTCAAAGCCATAAAAAAAAGTCTCTCCTTAGTTTCTTAGGTAGAAGTAGTATAGTATAGTTTTCTCCACTACTTTTTCTTTTTTTTTAAAAAAAGGCATATTCTGGAAACCATACCCTAGCAGTATATATAGAATTATTTGATTTCTTTTTTTCCCGCTTTCATAGTACTTTAGTGTGTTCAACAGTTCTTCTATTGGTGGACATTTTGATCATTTCCAGTCTTCTGTTGTTAAAAATAACGCTGGAATAACATAGTTTTGTGCATATGTCTGTTCAGCATTTGTCGTTGTATCCCCAGTATCTTTGAGATAGATCTTTAGAAGTGGAATTGTTGGATCAATAGGTGAATATACAGGTAATTTTGGCAGATGTTGCCAAATTCCTGTTCATAGGGGTTGTATCATTTTGTATAATAATCAGCAATATATGAGAGTACCTGTTTCCCCTACATTCTTTCACCAAGAGAGTATGTTGTCAAATGTTATGGCTGTTGCCAATATAAGTGGGAAATGGTATCTCAGTGTAGCTTTCCTTTGTATTTCTTTTATTATGAGAGCCGGGTCCTTTCCGAAGGCGGAAGCGGTGACAGAGTCGGGGTCCGGTGCCGTTCCACGGGGAAGCGTCGCGTCCGCTCGGCTGGCCCCACGCCGTGGACTCAGTACCTGCCACGGTGCCTGCCGTCACCGCTTCCCCGGGGGACCCGGAGCTCCTGGGACCCCTGTCGGTGCTCTACGCAGCCCTCACCGCCAAGCTACTGGAGGTGACGGCCCCCATTCCCAGGGAGGGACCCCAGCGCTGGCAGGCGGGTGGCCGAGTTCCGAGCCGAGCGGGTGCACCGACGGCCCGGGCGAGGGAGAGACGGAGTGAGTGAGGCCCGAGGCAGGCGGGACGCTGCAGTGCTGTGTAGCGAGGCCGGTGGCAGTGTGTGTGAGGTTTCGTCAGCTGTTCATTTTTTATTGAGCACTTTCGATGTACCAGGCACTGTGTTACTTTGTGGTATGCAGTCTCCATCAAAACAGCGAGCATCCCGTCCCCTGCGGGTCCTTTTCCAGTGATCGGCACTGTTGGGGGATGGGGCTGGTATGGCAGATACTTGTGTAGTTGCACAGCGCGGTGAAAACAGCGGAGAAGCAAGCAGGTGTTGAATGCGCTGTCTTCGAGGAAGCATTTAAAATTAAGGCGTTGAGTTTTGTAGAAGACAGTTAAATCCAGAGTAGTAGTGATCGCGAGGTGTCTGAAGGTACTCAGCATTTGGCTTTATGTAAGAGTAGAACAGAATTAAGATTTAAAGTCTTAGCGGAAAAGTGCAGTGTTTATGTTAGTTATCATCATTTTGGTTTTATTTGCCCCCATAGGAGTTGATTCCTTCTATAGTATGTTTCAATTGTTTTTTGATTTTTTTTTTATGGCTTTTTAAGTCATAGCAATCAACTAAGAGAAAAGTATGCTCCAGAGGGAGTCCAGCCGTGTGTTAGACAACATGATGTGGTAGGACCCATTGCAAACTGGAAATATATCCTCAACTTAGAGACATTTAGATTCCTAATGTTTAAAAAGACCTCAAGCTGGTAAAATTTCTGTGATCCCAGGAAAAATGAGGCTCCTTTGAATTGCATCTCTGCTGAGCCCAAAGAAGCTGAGGCCCCAGCGGAATGTGTGCCACTGAGTGATGCTAAACAAGCTTGTTTCCTAGTGCGGCTGCAGAGATCAGTGGTTGAAGGACACTAACCGAGCTGGTCCTTGCAGCAGCTGCGAGTTAGACACAGGGTATTGGCCTGAAACATCCCTCCCAGCGTCTCACTGCCCTACTGGAGAGTCTAGAAAGCTGAGTGTTCCATGTCTTAGACTTAGTTGCAGCTGGGATACTGTTATGGACTGAATAATGTTCCTGAAAATTCATATGTTGAAGCCCCAAACCCCAATGTGATTATACTTAGAAATAGGGCCTTTAGGGGCCAGCCAGGTGGCCCAGCGGTTAAATGTGCACCTTCCGCTTTGGCGGCCTGGGGTCAGCCAGTTTGGATCCTGGGTGCGGACATGGCACCGCTCATCCAGCCATGCGGTGGCAGGCGTCCCACATATAAAGTAGGGGAAGATGGGCATGGATGTTAGCTCAGGGCTAGTATTCCTCCGCAAAAAAAAAAAAAAAGAGGAGGATTGGCAGATGTTAGCTCAGGGCTGATCTTCCTAAACAAAAAGGAAAGAAAGAAACAGGGCCTTTAGAGAGGTAGTTAAAGTTACATGAGGTCATAAGGGTGGGGCCCTAATCCAACAGGATTAACGTCCTTATAAATAGAGGAAGAAAGACCCCAGATGTGTGTGCACAGAGAAGAGACCATGCCAGGACACAGAGAGAAGGCAGCCACCTGCAAGCCCAAAAGAGAGGCCTCAGGAAAAACCACACCTGCTTGAATTTCCAGCCTCCAGAGCTGTGAGAAAATAAATCTCTGTTACTGCATTGCATATTTGAAATTTGCTAAGAGAGCAGATCTTGAAAGTTCTCATCACAAGAAAAAGAAATTTTTGTAACTGTGTATGGTGATGGATGTTAACTAGACTTCCTGTGGTGATTATTTCACAATATATACAAATATCAAATCATTATATTGTACACCTAAAATGACGATGATGTTATATGTCAATTATATCTCAGTTTTTTCAAATAAATAAATAAATAGCGAAAAAAAATAAAAAAAATAAAATAAAATAAAAAGACCTCAAGCTACACAAGAAATACGAGGCTGCCAGTATCCTATCTTTATTGAAGCAGTGGGAGCTATTGAAGGTTTTTGAGGGAGCAGTTACCTGATGGAGGTTGACTTAGAATTTCTGTGGATGATTCTTTGTGCCTGCTTTATTGTAAGTTTCTTTATGGGTTCCCATTATTTCAAACATTTCTGTTTCAGCTACTTGCTACATTGCCTGATGATGTTCAGCCTGGACCCGATTGTTATGGTCTGTCACGGAAGCCTGTGCTTATCACTGCCTCCTTAGGAATTGTTTCATTTGCCATTTTCTTCTGGAGAACCATCCTTGTGAGTAAACTAAATTAACTTATATGTTGTCTCAGAAATACAAGGGATGTTTTATAATCACTGGCCCCCTTTTTTTTTTCAGTTAATAATATGAACACAAATTAATACTTAGAATCTAAGCCGACCTTGGCGAATAATTCAGTGTAATCCTTGTTGGTAAAGACATAAGTGAACAAGACAACATGTGTATTATCTCAGTGGGAAAACTTCAATTTATAAATCTGTTCTATCAAAACCTAAAGATTTGACTGTTTGTAGAATTAGGACTTCTTAACAGCCATTGTGAAAGGCAGCTTAATAATGTGTAGAAGCCTTTAAAATGTTTGCATCCTTGTATACAGTATAATACCGTGTCTAGTCATCTATCTTAAAGAAATAACCAATCGTGCATTGAAGATCTTGTATAAGGAATTCAATGGAACTGTGTATTCGAGCGAAAACTTGATACGGTGTAAATGAACTTTGCAGAGGAAAAGCTTTCAGTTTCGTTGAAGCTTAACAGTTAAAGTGGGCAGAAGCATTGCATGCATAGCTTTCTAGAATTGAGTATTCTTTTTCTGACTTCTTAGTACAAAGATTATGCCTTTAATTTTGTTTCCTCAGAGTCTTTTTGAACAATCCTTGTTTCTAGACATTATTCTGGCTGTTTGGGGTTTTTAAATAAATTTCAGGTAATGAAGCATTAGTATATTTTAATATGAAAATATTATCCATTTTCCTTTTCTTGTTTTCTGAGGAAGATTTGCCCTGAGCTAACAGCTGTTGCTGATCTTCCTCTTTTTGCTTGAGGAAGATTTGCCTTGAGCTAACATCCATACCATCTTCCTCTATTTCGTATGTGGGTTGCCACCACAGCACAGCTGCCGACAGTGATGTAGGTCCCCACTTGGGAACCGAACCCAGGCTGCCAAAGTGGAGCACGCAGAACTTAACACTAGGCCACAGGGCTGACCCCATATCCATGTTCATTATTAAAGTTGAGTGCTTTTTAAATAAGATTGGTGCTCATTTAATAGAGATATAAACATATCTTTAGTTGCAAAATGAGGTATTTACCTTAGTGCTTTTGTCTATCAGAAACTATTTATGAAGTATCACTGATTACATTTGAAATACTTTTATTTTTTTTTTTTCTTAAAGGTTTTATTTTTTTCCTTTTTCTCCCCAAAGTCCCCCGGTACATAGTTGTATATTCTTCATTGTGGGTTCTTCTAGTTGTGGCATGTGGGACGCTGCCTCAGTGTGGTTTGATGAGCAGTGTCATGTCTGCGCCCAGGATTCAAACCAAAGAAACACTGGGCCGCCTGCAGCGGAGCGCGAGAACTTAACCACTCGGCCATGGGGCCAGCCCCTTGAAATACTTTTTAACCTTATTTTTTATCCTTGGATCATTATGCTGAACCAAACTTGTTAAATTTTCATTTAGTTATAATCTGACTGTTGTATAAGGAAATGTACTGTTTCTATTAATAAAAAGTTTTGACGTCAAATTTAATTTTATTTCTCTTTCCTTTAGGTAAAGAGTAGAATGTACCAAGGTAAATATTTAAGCTTGATTTTATTTCTCTTTCTTTTAGGTAAAGAATAGAATATACCAACGTTAATATTGAAGCTTATTTTGTTATTTGTACTATTTCCTCAGTATTGGTGTTCAATATGAGTTTTATGTAAGCTGGAAGTAGATACAGTGCCTTACGATGTCTGATCGACTTACTAACTCCAGAAGGTTTACCTATCCTAGGTTATTAGCTGGGATGACAGAGTACATGGTGATGCTGCCAGCTGAGATAGGAGACGAGGTAGAACAAATTGTGGGAGTAGGAAGAAGATGACTAGTTTAATTTTGGGCAGACGGGCTTTGAATGTTGACGTAACGCAGGTTTATTACATGGGAACAGTGTTCCTGTGCTGATAGTTTAATTAGTGTAGTGTATACTTATTTAAGGAGGTAATTTGAGGAACAGAGATGTAAATCAATATGCTTGTGTTTTCTGTCTGTCTTTGCAAATGACATATCCTTGAAATGATCACATTTTCTGAGAAGAAAACTGCTGCAAGAGGGAAAGGAATGGAGCAAAAATATTTTACTGTATTTGCTGTCTTTGAAATAAATTTAAATTGGAATCTTGTTGAAATAAGGGTTCTTATTATATTTTTTTTAAATTTTAATATTTTTACACCCTTATTAGCTATTAACTCCAGATTGCTTTTTAAATGCATGATAGTTATGCTAAGAACTTCCTTTCCCTCACAGTGCCAGATAGCATGTCTTTGCTGCTAATACATTGGGTAATTCAGTTTCATTAGTGATCCTAATAATCTTCTGGATTTCCCCCCTTTTTAGTCACTGAACAGCAAATTGCTGAGAAGTTGAAGACTATCACCGAAGAAAATGCAGAACTTGTACAAAAATTATGAACAGAAGGTATAATTATTCTTTTAGTTTTTTCCCCTGTGGTTCCAGCTTGAATTATTTCTTCTTGTCTTTAGTTCAGTTATTATGGCATTTTGAAATCATATTTTTAAATTTCATTCTTACCTACAAACCATCCACATCTGAAGCAATCGTCGTGTGTGTGAAGAACTACATTCTTCCCTAAAGGGTCACCTACCTGGAGACAAAGTTTTGATAGACTTTAATTTATATTTTTGAATTCCAAATGCTTTAATTTTTATATAGATCAAGGAATCAAAGAAGCGTATTCAAGAAACCAAGAGACAAAATATGATTCTCTCAGATGAAGCCATTAAATTTAAGGTAAAAATCCCTTCTCTTTGATATTACATTCTAAAAACAAAAAAAAAAGAGTAATTATGAATAATCTTAATATATATTTTTTAATAGGATAAAATCAAGAACCTCGAAGAAACTAATAGAATTCTGGATGAGACAGCTGAAAATCTGCATGTTATGTTAGAATCTGAGAGAAGAGAATGCCAAAAATCAGGACTTGGTAAGAGTTTTGCTGCTAAGTGTTACTGTAATTTGGCTTGCCCACTGTTTTCAAGACTGGATGGGTTGAACTCTGCATTCTCCCATGCCCTAACTAGAGCAGGCTTGGGAGTCAGGGAAGTTGAACCTCCTTTTGTCCATTTTTATGGAATTTTAAATGCTAATCCAGCAAGTTATTATTTTAATGGTCCTAGGAAGTATTTTTGTCCTCAGCCTTGGGTAATTTTCAAATTACTTTGTTCTGCCCTCCGAAACACACAGAATGGCTGAGAAACAACCCAGCTGAACAGTTCTAGTGCTTTGTTTTGTTTTGTTCTGCCTGTTTTTTTTCCTCCATGAACTTTTAATTTCAGAACAGTTTAGAATTACATAAAAGTTGCAGCGAGAGGAGAGAGGATTCCCATATGTCACACACCCGGTTAAGCTTGATCACCTGGTGAGGTAGCATTTGCCAGGTTTCTCAACTGTAAAATGACCCGTTTTCCACCTTTGCACACTGTCCTCTTTGGAAGGAAGTGACTGTACACGACCCACAGTTAAAGGGTGAAGAGTCCGTTCCTCCTCCTTGCGGAGGCAGTGTCTTCATAAATTCTTTGGAATTCTTCTATACTTGAGATTTGTCCATTCTCCCTCAAGTCCCACCATTTTTAGTTCAGGCAAAAGAGTTTTTACAGTGATTTGGGTTTTTTTTTTTCTACCACTAGGGAAAACCATGGATTTGAACTGGTTTACTTGAAAGTTATTTTCATGTTCTTTGCTTTCACCTTTTTGTCTGGTCATCTACCACGTTATCTCATAGCCAAGAGGGTTGTAGGTGGCATGCAATAGTTATGCCTCCAATTATTTTCTTCTTTCCTCATTTCCTTTATATTCTTGACTGTTTTCCTTAGGCTAAAACTAGATACCTGCTTTTACCTGATATGTAGAGGATGGCTCTGGGATATGTTTTGTTAATGTTTCTTCTTTTTGGCATATATCCCAGTGTTTCTGCTGAAATCCTAATACATTTTTATGTCCTTTTTCCACATGACAGATATCGGAAAGCAAGAAATGTATAGAGAAGTTAAAGGATGTTATTTCACTGAATGCTTCAGAATTTTCTGAGGTAAAGTGGCCCATGGTTCCTGCAGAATATTAATACAATGTCTTAGTTTTGTTGAGGAGCACACATTTGATGTGTGCTAGAATATGCAAAAAATGAAAAATATATGATGTCTAATTGGGAAAGTGTAACTTTTTTGTGTGTTTCTTTGGAGTTAATTCACTAATAGGAGTGTTTTGCATTAGGTTCACATTGCTCTTAATGAAGCTAAACTCAGTGAAGAGAAAGTGAGGTCTGAATGCCTTCGGGTTCAGGAAGAAAATGCTAAACTTAAGAAGAAGAAAGAGCAGGTAAAGAAAAGTCAACGTCATAGATTATGTAAACTAGAGAACTGAGTATCATCATCTCTTGAGTGTCTTTTCTCAGATCTGTTTTTAAGGAAATGAAATATGTATGCAGGATTCTATTCTTAGGTACGCAAAGTTTAAACCACGCTCCCTAAATTGCATGTATACATTCTCCATCTGTTCTGGATTTCTGCTCTTCTGTACAATTTCCTGTAGCTATCAGAGTGTTGTTTAGTAACTTGAATAGCCTCAAGTGGGCAATGGATTTGCTTCTTAGACCAAAGAATTAGGTCTTTATGACTCTCCGTTGAGCAGTTAATGCCTCACTGACCAAGGGAGCATTACGTGCTCTGGAGTCTGGACTTGGCAGATAGTGAGACGTGCCCTTCTGTTCCTCCTGGAAGTGGATTCTTTGAGTAGGGTATCATTTTCTGAAGGATGCAGTAGGCTGGTTCAGCTTCCCTGACAGCTCTTAGGTTCTTGCTGCAGTTTTGAGGGTTGGAGCCTCTCCCCTCTGCCTTAACCAAGGCCATGGTGACAGGCCAGAGAGGATCGTGGCTCACTGCTCCCCTGTCTCGTTCATGTGGTCCTGATGTCTCCAGTGTGAAAGCCCTAACCTTTGGAAATTCATGTGTTTTAACTTTTCAGTTGCAGCAGGAAATCAAAGACTGGAGTAAATTGCATGCTGAACTCAGTGAGCAAATCCAGTCATCTGAGAAGTCTCAGAAAGATTTGGAAATGGCTCTCACTCACAAAGATGATACGGTTGATGTAAGTTCATTCTCTTGAATACAGGCTTAATTCTCATGAATTCTCAAGAAATCTGCTTAATTAACGTTGAGAGGCTCTTTCTAATACCATTTTGCTTCTTTTCTAGGCTTTGGTTAATTGCATGACACACTTGGATCGGATAGATTGTGAATCTGAACCTGGGGTCAAAATAAAGGAGGAAATGAGCTTTGGTTGATAAAATCAAGTGTTATTCTTAGGTGGAGAATTGAAGAAATGGAGGATCAATTACAGAAAACCGAGCGCTCATTTAAAAACCAGGTAATAATTATACTGCCCTACAGCTGCAGAATTCTTTGGCATCTTAATACAGACGATTATAATATTAAATGGCTATTGTAATGAATCCCTAAACATATTTTTTTATGTGTTCTCTTTTTCAGCTCGCTGTGCATGAGAAGAGAGCGCATGATAACTGGGTAAGATTTTTTTTTCCTTTCGTTTATTTTGTGCATAGTCTACCACAACTGAATTTGGTATTTTTTCCTCCAATAGCTCAAAGCTCGTGCTGCAGAAAGAGCTATAGCTGAAGAGAAAGGAGAATCTTCTAACTTGCGACACAAGTATGGGATTTTGATACTTGTTTTTCCAGTGTATTTGGAAGTTTTTTAAGGCTGTGCTGTGTGGGATCTAATAAGGAATTGATTTTCTGTTTCATATTTAAGTCTATTCTTTCTCTATATTCAAGATTATTGGAAATGACCCAAAAGATGGCCATGCTGCAGGAAGAACCTGTGATTGTAAAACCAATGCCAGGAAGACCCAACATGCAAAATGCTCCCCAGAGAGGTAGGCAGCACTTTTTTTTTTTGAGGAAGGTTAACCCTGAGCTAACGTCCATGCCCATCCTCCTCTATTTTCTATGTGGGACGCCTGCCACAGCATGGTTTGATGAGCAGTGTGTAGGTCCGCACCTGGGATCCGAACCGGCAAACCCTGGGCCAGCGAAGCAGAGTGCGCGAACTTAGCCACTGTGCCATGGGGCTGGTCCTGGGGAGCATTTTTAAAGGGCAGCAGTCAACTTTTTATCCCCAAAGCTCCCTGGTACATAGTTGTATATTTTAGTTGTGGGTCCTTCTACTTGTGGCATGTGGGATGCCACCTAAGCATGGCTTGATGACTGGTGCCATGTCCGCACCCAGGATCCGAACTGGCGAAACCCTGGGCCACTGAAGCGGAGCACGTGAACTTAACCACTTGGCCACGGGGCCGGCCCCTATAAATTACTTTTTATTTCTGTGTTTAATGGTTATAATGCCCTAGAAATAATCCCAGGAACTTCAGAAAGCAAAGATTGCCTTCAGGTGGTAATGGTTCACTGTGGTCCCCAGGTCCTCTGAGCCAGAATGGCTCTTATGGCCCGTCTCCTGTGAGTGGTGGAGAGTGATCCCCTCCACTGACAGCAGACCCACCCGCGCAACCTCTCTCTGCCACGCTCGGTCGAAGAGAGATGCCTAGAAGTGAATTTGGTGAGCATTCACGTGGTACCTTGCAATAAACTATTTCAAGAGTTTTTTTCCCCTTTTATTTGAGAATTCTAATGTAAACAACATTTTAGAATTTGGGTCTGTCCTTTATAGAGAAGAAAATGTCTTAATTTATCTTGGAGAATAAATAGTCTACTGTGAGATCTGCTTTAGAACAGAAAGCATTTATTTATTTAGTATTATTAATATTACCTTATACATATATAAATAAAATATATTCATATATAAGTACGTATATATAAATATTATTTATTATTATTGGTTTTGCTTCTTTTGAACTTTTTACTGTGAAGTATAAGCCTTTATCCTTAAATTTCTATGAGTTTCTCTCTTAAATATTGAAAAGTAGCCTTAAGACTTTATAATTTATGCAGCATACATCAGTTTCTCCTCATTATAATATGAGATGCTGTAAGTCTATTTCTAATCATAGATGTCTGTAGTACTTGATCACACATGAAAGTCAGTGTACATGTGGGCTGAAGAAGCTCGCCCTGTGCAGCTGTGTCCAGCCTGTAGCTTGGAGCGCCCGAGCAGCTTTATTAACGTGGGGCTTTATTGCTGTTCTCTCAGTCCACGGCAGTTCTTCTCTAATTCTTGGAGTCTGTGCAGGAATTGTGATTTCCCCTCATGTGTACTGGGAGACCCATTTTTAATGTTGCTTTCGGGGTAGAGTCAAACCCTGACCTGTCCACAGGTGTTCTGTTTCTTCTGAAAAATCCATGCAAGGGCTCTCTTCTTTCTTTCTCAAGGGTCAATGGACGGGCCTCTCCCTCGTCCTCGATGGTCGTCTGAGGCATCTGGAAAACCCTCTGCCCCTGGTAAGGACCTGAGTGTGCTCACAGAGTCTGAGGTCGTGGAGGAAGGGGGACAGGATTTCTCGTTCTTCCTGAAAGAGTATTTCAGTCAGAACGAGTCTCAGTCAGCTCTCTGGCCTTTGGCAGATGCAGGATCTGGCACAGCTCCCACGATGAACAGCGGCTCGAGAAGCTCTTCCCCTGCCAAGGTGACGGAGGAGGGCAAGGTAAATTCTGCAGTCATTTTGGATTGGAATTCGGTATTTCAGGAAACATGTCACTTTTTCTCCAACACCCTCTCTTTGCCTCGTCCATCTCCTGTTTGTGTGTTCTGTTCTATCTGTACTCTCTCATTTGTTTTTTGAAAAAGCAAACTGTCCCCCAAGAGCCTGAAGGCCCTTCAGTTCCCAGCATTACATCTTTGGCTGAGCCTCCCGGAGCAGTAAGTCCTTCGAGGCTCAGGGCTGAGCTGGTCACGCAGGCTGTTTCTGGAAAAGACGTGAAGAGCATGGCCCGGATCCGCTTTCTTTAGACTGCATGGCAGTATTGATCTTACTGTTGCCTGGGCTTGGAAGTGTTGCTGGCTTGCTGAAGTCTGACTGGTTGGTTGGTTGGTCGTGTTCTGCTCTTGCCTCTTTTGGTCAGGTGATTAACCTGTTTAGGACAGCTTTTCTAATGAACCACAAACTGCAAAGTCCCCGCTGCAGCTTGACACGGTGTGTTTCAGAGTTGGATGGTCTAAGGCAGAGTGAGCCGTGATGCAGTGCGTGGCTCGTCGTTACTGCGTTTGTTTGGAAGCTCGCTATTCAAGAATATCTCCATACTAGGCAAACCCTATTTTGAATAATCTGAAATTACAGATTGGTAACTGGAGAATGTTTGCTGGAGGTGAAATACCCAATAGTGACCATCTGTAGTTGGGCCAGTTCCCAGCAGTAGCCTTAAATCATGCTCATGTAAGTGTCTTCTCTTGTAACTTGCATAGCAGTTACAGCTGGCAAGACCTCTGATCAGACCTCACAGGGCTTCTCTATGTTGAAATCAAAATACGTGGATTTTAATTATTTAGAATTTCCAACCCCAGTTCCCATACGAAAGGATTAGTCAGTATCTTGTAATGTTCAGTACGGTACTACTGGTGAATGAAGGTAGATAGAAAGCGGCGCCTGCCTCGCTTGCATATTCAACATTGTTTCTGTTGGAAAAAACTTCCAAGTTTCAGTGCAGGACTCCAGGAGTACACATCTCTTGAGAGATCTTTTTATCCAGGGGCAGCTTGGATAAGACCCAAGACCCCTGTAGAAGATTTGAGAGTCGAGCCGCCTTCGCTAGAGGGGGAGGCAGAGGCGGGAAGAGCATGGATGTGGATCGGACCGGATGTTGAACTCCAGCTCAGCCTGTTACCTGCTGTGTGACCATCACCACATCATCTCCTATTTTCTCTCTCTTCCCTCATATGTAAAACAAGACATCAGACGTAGAGATTTAGAGATCTGAGAATGAGCGGCAGTATGTGAAAGGAAATTGAAGGTAGTCGGAATGTCAGCTATTACTACATGTAGAGAGAAGGGGTTTTTCATTCCCTTTCGTTCTCTCTGTTCTTAGTATGGAAATAATGAGCTACTGCGGAGATGTGGGAAGGGAGGGTTGCTTTGGAAATAGATTACAATGTGTATGGTATGGGTTTAGTCGGGAATCACCCCCATTAATATCCTTTGCAGTCGTCCTGCTTTCCCTTCCACTTGCATGTACAAGCAACAACATGACTACGGTGAAACTGTTGACTCCTGTGCCACCCTTTCACCTGCCTGAGCTGTCTGTCAGTGGGAACAAATGGGAGTGCAGTTTCATTGCACTGGTTCTGCTGTTTGGACAAGTGCCTGACATCTGCTTCCCTGGGTTTCAGCTTTTACTGGTGTTGGTGCTTTTGTCTGTCATACCAGAGTACTTCAGAACTTTAATTGCTTCTGCTCTGCAGGTGAATATGGCTACAAAAGGGCCCCCTCGTTTCCCAGGGGTGCCCTTCATGGGCTCCCCTGTGGGAGGCCCTCTCCCACTGCCCATTCGCTATGGACCACCTCCTCAACTCTCCGGGCCTCCACCGCCGACTCAGTATGGACCGCCGCCTCAACTGTCCGGGCCTCCACCGCCCAGTCAGTATGGACCGCCGCCTCAACTGTCCGGGCCTCCACTGCCCAGGCAGTATGGACCGCCTCCCCAGCTCTGCGGGCCCTTTGGACCTCAGCCACTTGGTCCACAATTCGGTATGATTATAGAACAGCGGTAACTGACTTGTAAAGTGTACTCATCTTCTCTGTTTCTTGGTCAGATGTTAACAGTGGCTGTTACAGGGCTGTGTGGTGAAAGGGTCAAGCTGGCTGGGTACACTTTGACTTTTCCTCAAGTTTCTTGGGGCACATGGGATGCCACATAACATCCCTATACCGAGATGGGCAGTAGGTATCTCCGTAGACAAGGAGAAAGGGGCTATTACAGAAAGCCAGAAACACTGCTGCTGCAGAGGTTTAGTGAGCATCTGTGGCTACGTACCAGACCCTGGGGTGGATAGAACTCAGTCCCTCTTCTGACTCCAGGAGCTTACATTGTCCTGTAGGACACAGCTGCATACACACTACAACATAAAGCTTATAATCACCATAATGGAAGCATAAGCAGTGGGTCGGAGAGTGTAAAAGAGGCAGGGATTAAGCCGTCACTCTCCAAGCTGGGATTAACTGGGAAGGACGTGTTAAAGAGAAGGTGGAATTTCATAGCTGCCTAGTGAATGTTGCTGAATTTAATTAGGTGTAATTAGGGTAAGCATCTTGATTACGATGGCATATGTTAGGTCCATGCTGAGTTGCTGCATGAGTTTTTACTTGATACAGTAGTAGATAATGGAATTGCCTTTATCAAAATTTCTTTGTTGTAGTGATTATGAAGTGTTACTTCATAATTTGTCATCTTGGTGTGACACATGGTACTTCCAAGTACAAACCAAGCTCTTGAGAGATAAAAGGTGGCAGAACTGTGTAGTAGAAAAAACACAAGCTTGGTAGAGCCGTGTTTAAATCCTGCCTGTGTTGCTTCATGGCGGGCTGGCCACAGGCCTGTAACTTCAATTTGCCGAGCCTTAGGTGGCGTCATCTACACAGTGGGGATGCCACCACCTGACTTCTAGGGTTGTGAGCAATTAAAGACGAACATACCTGGAACCCTCTAAATTTAGATATGTTTGTAGGTATTTACATGACTTCTGTTTTACTTTTCCAGGTCCTGGTCCATGCCCACCACTAGGCGTAAGAGAATATGCACCAGGTGTTCCACCTGGAAAAGGGGACCTGCCTGTCGACCCTCGAGAGTTTTTACCGGGACACGCACCTTTTACACCTCCAGGCAATTTTGTCCCGAGAGAATACTTTATTCCTGGTGCCCGATTACCACCCCCAACCCACGGCCCCCAGGATTATCCACCTTCTGCTGCAAGAGACTTACCACCTTCCGGCTCTCGAGATGAGCCCCCGTCTGACTCACAGAGCAGTGGCAAGGACTCCTCATCGGCCTTAAAACACAGCCCCTAAGGGACCTCTGACACTTCGTCCAAGAGAAGGTGAACCGTGCACTCTTGGGTTACAGTAAAGGATTTTATTGGCTTCAAAATCCAAAAGTTTATTTTCAAAGGTTTTAGAACTAAGCTGCCCTGGCAGTGTGCATTTTTGAGCCAATCAATTAAAAAATATCATTTTCCCCCCTAAATAGATACCACCTCGGAATCTAGCACCTTCTTACAACTTTGAAATGTGCAATAAAGAATACCTGTGTTTCATTAATGTAGCATATGTAACTGCTAAATGATTTAGAGCGTCATGAAAAATAACATTTCCTGTGGAAATGCTATAAGAACACGTATTCCCTTTATCCTATTTTTAGTGCACATTGGTTGAATACGGAGCAACAGTGTTTATAAGCTTGATTTTTTAAAATATCTGGTCATGAAGACTGTTACATTAAAATGTTTACTAAAAGATCACGCCACTCTCTCCCCTCTTGCTGAGGTTCTCTGTAGTAACAGTTCATAAAAATTTCCTTATTAATATTTCCCACGTGTCTCTTGCTTCATTGGATTCTTTTCTCATGAGACGGGTGCCATGTTGGAAACATGCAAACTCAGGCTCCCAGAACTGGAGATGGTGACTTGGCAGCAGCCCTGTTGCTCACCACACAGGAGGGGCAACCTCAGAATGCAACAACTGACGTCTTCCTTTTCCTTGAAAGCCAGTGGGCCCATCTGTACGGCATTCATGTGCTTGCTTGTGACTCTCACTGCCTAGTTGAGGTGGTTTCCTGAGTATGCGTTTCCATTAGTAGAAGGACTTGTTGCACCTGTTGTTCTGTGGCTTTTCACCATTCTTGCATTAAGGGTGCTTGACAGAAAAATGAAAATGATGTGTTGTGACCATAAAAGTAAGGAAATTTGTTTTAAAAAATTCTAGTCTATTCTTTCTCCCATACCTTGCCAGTGATTTTCAAGCAATATAACAAAAAAGACCAGAAGAGTATAATATTAGAAAGAATGATTTAAGATTGTAAGGCTTGTAACATGCTCGGTTCTTTTGTCTGTTGATACTACAGAATTAATATTTGAATGTTAGCACTTACACATCTAGGAATCTGGGATCACACCATACTTAAAGCCATCCCATTCCCATTACTACACCATGTCTTTTAAACAATGTTTCTTAAGAACTCATTAGACTCTTCAAATTATAGTAACTTTATAGCACATTTTACGAAGTTTTAGATCAGAACTATAAAAGGCTGGTATTCTTTCCTGTTAGACTATACTCTCTCAGCCTCTGCAGTTCTGTGATGGAATGATGTCACTGACACCTCGACCACGGCTTGTCACAGCTATATTTAGTCCACTAAGAATGCCCTGCAAAAAGCAAAGCCTGCACTGTGAAACAACAGGTCTTCATATAACCTAGTAAAAGACAGCACTTTAGAAAGATAAGGATCTTTGAACAAAGATGACTTTCAAAATTCATAAGAAATGGAAAAAAGGAAGAGAATTCCGTCTATATGTCCGTCCACTTCACATCAAGAGTAGAAGAAATTTAAGAGGGAAACTCCATAGTTAGTAGCAGAGGTTACTTTTAACCATGTAAAATAAGATTAAATCACAAATACAACTTTTGACTATATCAGTCTCTTCAGACACAAAATAATGATCAAGTTAATATCATTTCTAATTTTCAATAGCATTTAAATATAGATTATACCAATTAGGAAAATAAGTAGGAAAGGTAAATTAAATCTATTTTAAATCAAAGCGGGTCATTTTTACCTCAATCTTTTTTTGGTGTTTATTCTGTATCATATTATGGAAACATGATTAAGCTGTAGAGAAGTGCAGTGTCACGTCCCTGAGCAGTTCTGAACCTGCTGTAAGCGCCACCGCTCTGAGCCTCTGCACCACGTCTGCAGCAGAGCCCAGGCAAGCTGCCCGTAGGCAGAAGGTGCCGGGGCATCAGCCTTCAGTTCCATCCGACTCGGCCATCTCAAAAGTCACATCTATTTCAGAAGTCGTTTACAGCTAATTGCATTTCAGGGCTTAGTTGCTAAAAGCATCTCATTTACGAAGGAACAATGTTTTGGCCTAACAACATTCCTGCTATAGTTGTGGCTATTGTTCAATGGCTGGTTTGTTCCAACGGAAAGTAAACAATCTGTGGGATGTGGAGTATTCTGTGTCCACTGCTTCAAGACAATCACTCGTTGTTTCGTTCAGGTCTGAATTAAAGATAAGCTAATCACACAGTGTTCAATTTGAGCTTCTTGAGTACTGATGAAGCCAGCCCTGGTGGTTAAGATGCCATGCTCTCACCACCACGGCCTGGGTTTGTTACCTGTCGGTCGTCATACTGTGGCGGCTGCGTGTTGCTGTGATGCTGAAAGCTATGCCACCAGGATTTCAACTACCAGCAGGGTCACCCATGGTAGACTGATTTCAGCAGAGCTTCCAGACTAGACAGACTAGGAGGAAGGACCTGGCCACCCGCTTCTGAAAATCAGCCATGAAAACCCTGTGAATAGCAGTGTAGCACTAGCACTGTCTGATAGAGCACTTGGGGGGAGAGAATGGCGCAAAAGACCAGGCAGTGTTCCACTCTGCTGTCCACAGGGTCACTAACAATACGGATGAAAGGCATCTGTAGTTCATGGAAACCATACATTGTGGACGATAGCACATGCTGCTTCATATAAATGATCACTGACAGACGTGGCTTACGAGTCCACAAGAAAAGAGAAAGAACAGTCAGTTTTGCTACATTTTAATAGTAGGTTCTTTAAGGGATTATTTTTTAGGTCTCGTCAGCAACATCAAACAAAAGGTACTGAGTACTCCACAGGGTACAGAGTGCTGCCAAGCACCTGAGGAAATTTACATGACATGGAGAAAACGGGGTTCTTGCCCCTTGAGGAGCTTACAATCTGGGGGCTGACAACTCAGTCTAAGAGTTGAGTGAACAACCAAGCAATTTATTAAGGCAAATGCTTCATCCTCGCCAGCTATTGTGGATTGAATCCTTTTGGAATGAAATCTAATCAAGGTGAGAGACAAGACTAAATTTGGTTGAGAATGCTTTCAGGCTCCTAGAGTTTTTAATATCCATCTTAATAAACAGAACTGACCTCACAGACAACTGAAAGGCTAGATCTCCTGAAGAGCAAGGGCTAGAACAACTTACTCGTGGTTACTTATTTTAAAAAGCAAACGTACTGAACGGTATGACTAGGGTTATTACACTAGTTTAAAAATAGGCCAAGTACTGGCACTGCATTCTCCTGCTAGCATTGGTCATTTAAAATAATGAGTATTAAATATGTGGGCTCTACATCTAACCCACAGAAAGCCCACCCCAAATCTTAATGTTCTGTGTATCAAATATCCACCTTGTGTGTACTATGAAAGTTTTATTTATGCCCCATTAAGTCAAAAGTAAATAGTCAAATTATAATAAGCTAATGACCTGCATATTTCCATATGGATGAATGTCAATATATCTAAATAGGAAATAAATGGCAATCCTATCTACCTATATAAAAAAAAATAGAGTATCTCCAGATTTTGCATACTCATCACTCTAAGAGAGTTATGCAGGTTTTAAGGTTTCACAATCAGTTGTCAGAAAAACAGCAGTGATTCCTGCAGTATCTTGTTAGCATCTGACTCGAATTATTTTTAGAGTACATGATTTAAAAGACAGTATAAACCCATCTGCAAATTTGTAATTATTCTGAGATGGTTCCGTCGCTAACCCTAGAATCACCATCAGAAAGAGTAACAATGTGACGTAGAAGGACAGCTAATCAACACGACTGAAAATATGCTCACTTTCAGAAAAACAGTCGGGTCACCGGGAAAAATCCGAGCTCCCACCTGGAAACAGTCCCATCTGGGACACTGCTCTGGCCAAGGCACTCTATGCTTAGCAGGAAAACCATGAGATCAGGTGCATTTAGGCCTCTGAGGAGCAGCCTATAAATTCCCAGACGGACCTGGGGTGGCACCATCGGCCCCATTCCTCTCCAAGCAGCCATCCTATCCTACCCACATCAGCCCCAAGTTTGACATTCATCAAAAAAACCAAAAGAGCATATTGGCGCAGAAGTGAACAGATGTGTAAACTTGAGCACATTCTTATTGCTGTATTAATTCTGAAGAGGAGCACATCCTACCCACAACAGTGTTGTTCCAGGAAGCAGGGCAGGAGCAGTGGTAAATTAGAAAAGTGACTATTAATTGCACAATTAATAGAAAAGTAAAAACATGTTTCAAAATCTACAAGAAGCCTGTATTCAAAGGAGTCTTAGATGTCAGTGATGTGCTGGACTTTGAATTCTGTGGTACAGCTGTGCAACGGACCCCCTCCGGCCTCCTGGCATGGGTACGGCTCGCTTCCTGCCTGTCGAAAGGTGAATACGCTACACAGAGCTATGATGCTTTCTACCGAGTGGTGAAGTTCACAGAAGTTCCAGGTTAGTCAGGTCAGGATCATTCCTTGTGCAAAGTTTGATGTAGATGAAGATAAAGTGGTTTCTTGGTCAATAACTGCAATTTCTTCCTTTTAAAGTCAGTGGGCTTCTTGTATCTGTAAGCACAATAGAAAAACCACTGTTTCAAATCCTTTGATGATTGATCTATTCGGAGGTCACATACTAAGAAGAAACACTAGTCACCACTCAGTTAGAGCTAATTTCCTACTGTGTGTCACTTACAGTTCTATTACAATTGGCCCAGGTTTAATTTCATCCATCTCCATGAAAGCAAAACATTTGGTGCTGGTAAACCGTTTTTTAGGCTTGTAGTGTTTGAATTCAAAGAAGATAGCTGCACCTAAGGAATGAAAACAAACCACATTAGCCACAGACAGCACATTTGCAGTGTCAAGACATTGTCTTTGATGACCAGAAGCATATGAACAAGCAACAAGTGGCATAATTTACAAATTAACCTTTGTCACATTCTCTCTGGTGATGTGATCCTCATGTCATGACTCGGGTCACCACCCAAAACTTGGGTATCTGAATGGAGTGACATTTCTCCATATCATCCAATTCTACAAAGTACAGTAAAACTTCTTGAGCTAGAGTCACTCAAGAATGTACATAAGTTCATACACAGGGAGAAGCATAAACTACTGAAGAATATATAATATTAAATACCACGAAAAGAACACAGAAGATACTTAAGTGTTGACATTATTCGTAGAAAAGCATTAGGCAGAAAAGGCATGTGAAAGAGTTCATCCAAAAATCCAGGCTTAAAT